AAAAAAAAACTCCTTCTAATGCAGCGATTGCCGGTTTTCAAAAATTTCATAGTAATTAAACTATCATTACGAAGGTTAAAAACAACTTTAGCTCAACCTGTAGTCTTGCTCAATAATATCAAAACATCAAGGATTTGGAGATATATCAAAAGTTCGCTTAGTCGGTATCAAATGTGAGCTGTTTGCCTGAACTTACCCAATGCTCAACAGCAGCCAGACTGAATGCATCGCGATAGATTGTCCGAAGTACTAACAGCAAAGCTTGCACGAGCAAAGAAGACGATGAATGCTAGAAATATTTTTATTTGTTGCCACATTTCACTTATTGCGAGGCATCTCTTTCACAAGAAGTTTTTGAATTTCAAATTAAGAACATGTAAAGAAGAGGTAGGTAACTAGGTAGAGGTAGCTCAATGAAGAAGGAGATCCATCTTATCACGATAATTCCAAAAAATGTAATTTGTCAATTTCTGTACATGATGTTAACTCCGTCAATATCCCTGGCAAACTTGGTTAAGTACAGGGTATTTTTCCTTCTTTCAGACTTCCACATCCTATATTTTCACCGTAATTTTTCGAGTATCTCTTGCTTTTTGACCCCCAAGATGGCACAGTTCAAAGTGCTTACTGTGGAGGCTCCATTGTCAATCATTTCGTGCACCCTGTTTATTTCCGTATCCATTCTATTCGTCTTCTGTATCGATATCAACAATGTCTGCAAATAGCAGTGCATCGCTGAGTGAATTTGAGATTCCAACGAATCGTCACCACTGTGTTGATAGCAGTATACAGGAGGGCGAGGCAACTGAAATCGGAACTTTTTAGGTTGTCCAAACGCAAAATTCAGTCGCAAGGGAAGCGTTTTTAGTGAAATGACTTTTCTCCATGACAACTATATCACTTTGTTGAGCATTAAACGCTGATTTCAAATCTGTTTTCCTTATCTGCCAAACACCTCTGGAGATCGAGTTATGGACATTTCTTAGGTAGAAAAATCGAAGGAGTAACAAA